CCCTCCCTTGTGGAGACCTCACATAGAGTAGAACCTTCCTGTACTGAACCACACCCAGTTGGTTGCCTTGGAATCAGCCCTAGCTCATGGTCATCACGTTTGTTTCATAATAGAACTATCTCCATAGAATTTTCAGGGGTTTTGATCTTTTGGGACTATATCACCAGACCTTTCTTCCAAGGCAATTCTGGGTGGATTTGAACTGCCGACTTCTAAAACTAACTCAGAGCAGACCCCCAGAGGTTTTCAGAGGCTGTGAATCAAATGGGGGGACAGTACTCATCTTTCTCCTGTAGAGCAGCTGATGGATTCAAACCACCCACCTTTGGGTTGGTCGTGCAACAGCCTATCCATTAAGCACCCAGAGCTACCATGTGTGTTTGTACAAGCATTTAACCAGACAGCTCTCTCTGAAGACCCACCATAAGGTCAGCCACGGGTTGATTCTGACTTGAATACACACACTAACACCAACAACAATATACCAAAGAGTCTTTGCCTGCTGAAAGGAGGGAACACTTTCTAAATGGGGACAGATACAGATTCCAAGACCAGTTCACACAAGCTTCACTGGAGCCTGCTTGGAAGGATGCTGAGTATGAAACAGGGCTCCTTTCGAGAACTCTAAATCACACCTTCCCTGTCTTGGGGGCTTTTGACTCACTGATCACCTCCCTATATAGTGAGGAGTGCTAGTGCTGAGAGGTACAAGGCGGACATCTACCTTAACACGTTGCCGCAAATGACGGCAGCTATGTTTGTAGGCACGGTTGTCATTTTTAGAAGTGTGCAGCAATGTTAAACGGTCCTTGTTACAGAGGCTTAGAGAGGTTGGTGTGTTTATAAAGGTGAAAAGGGTCAAAGCTGGAGCCCGTTTCTCAAGGCTCCGAAGACCCCACCTTTGCAGGCTTTCTTTTATCTGCTTTTCTTTTGGATAGAAACTTGGTGTCTAGATGCCAAGAGCTTGCTTTTGGTTCAAAGCATGAATAGCTTCTCATCATTTCTGTGACTGTTCGGAGCTCTGGTGGCCAAGTAAGAAGTTGTGCTGCCAACCCAAAGGCACATGGTTCAAATCCACTAGCTGTGTTATGGGAGAAAGCTTGGCAGTCTCCCACCGTGTGCTTTAGTACCTCAGAAAAGCCCTGGACAGTACACAACAATCTAATAGCAACTTCACTTGCATCTGTATTAGCTACTTATTGTCTTCTGTTGTTTATGAAAAGTTTTATTTTTTTGTATGAATAAAAATTTTAAAGTTTGTCATTTCCTATTTTAAATTATAAGTATAAATACAATGGATTTTATCCCATTAGCATGAGATATTTAAGGTCTGCACTGATTGCTGATTTGTTATTTTTATAATTTAACAGCTAATTAAGGTACATAAAGAGTGGATTTTTTGTGAGTTACATCACTGTCTACATAAATTTGATTAATGGCTTTTATTTATGACCTCACACCTAAGCTAAATTTTAAATACCTAACATGACAGCTGTTTGGTCATGACTGATCCACGTTGCTGTCTCCATCTTTTTTAGTATTACTGGAAGGTTTAGCCCTCCTATCCTCCTCCATCATTCTTCTGTCTTACAGAGTCACAACGAGAGTGAGTCATTGAAAAGCTCGTTGAGGAACAGGATCATACTGTTGCATTAATGACACTTGCTGGCGTGCCATGTTGCATCAATCCTACTATTTTTTATCCTTTAAAATGCTGTTCATGGCTTGTATTTAGTAATGTTTTCCAATTTGCCACCTCAGTATTAAGACTACCCTTAGAAATCAGACTGTTTCACTTTGGCACATTAAACACTTGACAGGTGTGTAACTGAGAGGGCAGAAAAGTCGTGCCCTGAAGGGATGTGCTATTTAAATATTGTCAAAAATATTAACAGGTCTGAGAGTATAATTGATGCCTCTGTTTAACTCTGCTACATTGCGTATTGTTCTAACCACCAGCTAAAAGGATGTGTGCTATTAAACCTGAATAATCCCTAATAGCTGCATTCCATTTCCTTTTGCATAATTCCAGTTTAAGTGAAGAGAGCGGGAAGGGGAGGGAGGGGGAAGGAACATGACTGCATGACAATGCTCTGTCAAGTGCAAGTTCTCCAAGCCATGTCCTCGCTGTCACCCAGTCATCACAGTTAATAGCTACAGCGCCTGATGAGTATTCATGA